AAATTGAATGTGTTATTAACATTTTCGTGCATCATTTTTATAATGAAACTTTACATGTTGTTAACAATCTGATTCACCGTTTTTTTAATGTCAATTACGTAGGTTATCAACATCATGGCTCGAACCAAAAACACCTCCCGTAAGACTGTGCCGAACAAAGAAACATCTGAGAAAAAGCTGACCGAGTCAGTTGAAAATAATGGAGATAGACTCAGCCACAGATGTAGTATGTCTCAGGTTATAAAGATGGTGGAAAATATTACTCCGGCTCGAGCTGCTCTAATTCAGGGGTATGGGTTTGGTTTTGTGTTGAATTTGACGATGCACAACATTGATCAGGATTACTTGAGGATGATTGCACAACATTTCGATCACCGGAATATGTCTTTCAGTATGCCAGGCGGGCAGAGTTTACGCATCACAGAGTCTGATATTGCACGCGTTTATGGGTTGCCTCGGGGTACTAATTCTCCTCAACTTGATTACTTTCAAGCGCCTACCTCTAAAAAGTGGGCAGAACGTCTGGGCATACGTCGTGTCAGCCCAGAGAATGTGAAGTTGAAAGAAGTTATGCATAGGACTGATGACGACCAATCGTGGGTGCAAATGTGCATCCTCCTGACAATTGGATATTTGCTAGACCCCAATGGAATGCGGGTCATCAGTACTTGGGATTTATGAGGGGACGCTTAGTTGACGAGTTTACCAAGTACAACTGGTGTGGGCATATGATCAGTTGCCTGCGTGCGGCTTTTATGAAAAATAAATCGAGGAAGTACGTGGAGGGGGATGTTCACTTCCTCATTTGTGCTTTTCTGGATCGGACAAGTGTCCTTGGTAGAGAGGGGTTTATGACTACATTGATCCCCAGTTGTTCGTATTGGGCAGATTCTCGTGTATCAACACGCAAGTCAGAGGTGCTGCGGAATGCTAGTGAACTACGAGCTGTGCCCATACTCAAGACCTCTCAGCCTATGACTAAGACTTTTTTTGGCACTACAACGAAGGAGGATAATACAGTAGCTACCACCCAGCCTGAAGTATTGGAAATCGCTAGGAAGGTAAGGGCGGATGTGATGCGTGACAATGAGGAAGAGCATGAGGGTTCTTTGGGGTCGGGATCCATTTTTGGGGCCTTGTGCTTGAGGCTTGACCACATGGAAACTAGCGAGGTAAGTTCCACCAAATTTCAATATAAGGTATGTTCTTATATTAATTTTAATACGTTTGTTGTGATTTTAACTATCATATTCACTGTTGTTAACCATTATGCAAACATTATTAACATACATTTTAATAACAGTTGTCATTCCCCATTATTAATTAGTTACATTTTTTTATACATTTAGATTGTGGCTATGCGGGACAATGCATGTATGTCACTAGATGTGTTGTGTAGTCAAGCTATCTTGCTACGTCGTGTAATCAGAGACTGTAAGGTTGAGCTTGATAAGCGTGGGGCTGAATCGTCGGATTCTGATGAGGAATCTCATGGCCGGAATGAGTCACTATCCAAGAATGACGTTTCTGGTAAGATACATCTTTCTTATGATTCAAATATCATGTTTAGCTCCGTATAAAATTGTTTTTCACGTCATCTATATTGGCATGATTATTATTAATCGTATCTGGTTCTTTCAGTAACAAAGGATAAGGGAGGTGTCAATGCATCTGAAGAGGGACTTGCGTCTGACCATGAGTCTCTATCCCAAAACGACGATGTTGGTTAGATACTTCTTATTTATGATTCAAATAGCACGTTTGCTCCGTATAAAATTGTTTTCTCCCGTCATCTGTATTGGCATGATTATTATTAATCATATCTGAATCTTTCAGTAACAAAGGATAAGGGAGGTGTCAATGCATCTCAACTGGGGCTTGCGTCTGACCATGAATCTGCGTCCCAGCTACGAGGATTATCTGGTATTGGTGCAAACAATGATACAGTCGGTAAGTAATCTAATTCCGAAATATATTCGTTGTATACACTTTTTTTTAGAAACAATTATGTGCCTCATGTTTGAATTAAAGAATGTGAACTGTGCTTTGATTATTAACATGCTGCTTATTCATTATTATTCAAAATGAATGGATTTTTAACACCTGCACACCTAATTATTTATTGCCAATTTTGAGGTGCTGCAGAGTACATAGTGGACCAACCTGTGAAGACTCGTGTATACAAACGAAAGAAGAGATCTCAGCCCCTAGTTGTACCCTCAGATGATGATTTTGAAACCAGGCCTAAGAGGGATGTCAAAAAGTCCAAATATGTAAGGACGCCATTCACTGCAAATCAATCCAAGGTAGTTGCTAAAGTTGTACCTGTTAAGGAGAAGGGAGTTGATGTTTCGAAAGAGGTACCTCCTAACGAGAAGCAACATGAGGGTGTTGAAGAAGTGCCTGCTAAGGAGAAGCGTCACGAGCTAAACCAAAACCTATCGATGTTTTCTACATTGACGGGAATTTATGAGAGGACCTGGCACTTTGTTATGCTTGGCAAGGTCCAGGGGAATGGTACACTTCTATTTACACGCCTCCGATTTCAATATATATATTTTCTCTACCAAATTTTGTATTTACTAATCCACCATTTCTTGATGTTTTCTATTTCCCCATATAGGAATGAAGAGTTGAGGAAGCTGCAGGATAACACCATTTCCCTCACAAAGATGGATACAAAATCAACAATCCTGGTTCCTTTATAGAGGATAGCTTTATAGATTGTTATTTAGATTTTCTCAACCGTGTCGAGGTTCGTAACACCAATGGGGTGGTCGGTAGATGGATTTTCTCATGCCTATTTGTTGTAAGTGTATTACCCAAACTTTTAACTCCATAATTTTCTTGACCATTGTGGCTAACCCCATCCTTCTATCGTTCTGTTTTGCAGCAAACACTAATTGTAAAAATGGATGAGAAGTTAGCACAACTAAAACCTGGTGAAGAGGCACCGGTGGAATTGACTCAGCAAGAATACCGCAATACATTGATTGATGAATTCCTCCTGTACCCATGGTTGGAAGACAAGACATTCACGAAATGCCAATTTGTATGTATCCTATCCCTTCTTTTATACGTACTATGGTTATTAATATGGTGTTCGCCTATTATTAACAAATTATCCGCCTTTTTTTAACAGGTTATTAATAGCTATTAGTATATTTGACTTTTAATATATATATCGCCTGTTATTAACAAATGAATGGATATTATTAACATATTATGTACTCACTTGCCGTGACATTGGTTATTAATACGGTTTTCGACTATTATTAACAAGTTATCCGCCATTATTAACAAATTAACCGCCATTATTAATAATTATTAGTAACAACGTACAAAAGATGAGATTATTAATATCTATTAGTAACTTTGATTTTTAATATATACCACGCCTGTTATTAACAAATGAATGAATATTATTAACATGTTATGTATTCACTTGTCGTGCAGTGGTTCTTTCCCCTCTGTGTTGGCAATCACTATGTCGTGTACTGCATTGATTTACTGCACAAGGAGTTTCAATTGATGAATAGTCTGCAACATGATTGGGATGATTCGCGCTATCAGACCATAGGAAGGGAGTTGGTGAAATATGTCCAGGCTTTCGTTGGGTGGGAGGTTAACAGGATATACAACTTTGAAGAGTTCCCTTGGAATTTCGATCTTGGATTCAGACAAAACGACTATATTTCATGTGGTGTTTTTGCTTTGAACTTCATTGAGTTTTGGGCAGGAAAGAGGGAGCGAAATTGGAAAACCAGATGGGCAGACTTGAACTATATCAACAAGGTTGTCAACCCATGGGTCGACCGATTTTGACCCTGACCCGATGAGAAAAATGGGCCGCACGCACCAGTTGGGTCGACTACTACAAGGTATCGGGTTTGAGGTCAAATTATGTCATTTTTTTCTTTAGTTTGCGAAATGCGCCTATTTTTCGATTTTTCTTTTCGCCTAACTCAATCTTTGGAATCGTAAGTTGAACATTTGAATATTGATGTTATATAAGTGTGTGTGAATTTTCACTATATGTTGGATCTAAGTACGATATGTTATTTTGGTGTCATATTATATATTATAACTCATATGTTAGATAAGATTTTATATAATTTATCAGGATAAGTACAATATAATGACTCTTTTCATATTTTCGGGCCAAACCGGGCTAAAACGGTTGACCCATTAACCCTGGACCCACTAGCTCGACCGGGTCCAGGTCAGCCAGCGGGTTGACAACCTTGCTTAAAAATGATTGGGGAAATGGGTCCAAAACAAAAATTTGTTTGTAGATATGCATTGCGAAATCATGCAGGAGGTTGTAGGAGAAAAGTCAGTAATAGGGTATTTTATACTGGAACCGTGGTTCGATCGTTTCATACTGTTAAAACCGTCTATCGATTTAGTCTCCGATATAAGATTTTTACGGTCAAACCACCAGTATGGTACGGGTGAAACACTGATAAATGTTGTTAACTTTCCTTTCATTCTTCTTTTTTAGACTAAACTTCAAACAAGATGATTAGGAGGAGAATAGGGAGAGGAAGCAAACTAGCCTAAAAATTTGTTCATGTTGATTATATGGGTTTGTTCTCGTTTCCCATGTCCCTAAGTTGAAGGGAAGATTGGTTGGAAGTTGTAAAGAAAGGGAGGTGGATGGATATATGGGTGAGTATTAGGATTGCTTAGAGGGACACTCTTCCTATCTATGAGACATAGTAATAGATACTAATCCCCTCATCAAACTGGTCAAGGTATAACCAAGTCTGCACCTCCCTTTGTCTCCAAATTTAAAGTGGTATCGTTGGTTTTCTAGTTTCGTGTCAAAATTTACGGCGTGTGGATCTCGTTTCTTGTTTGCTTCGTATCTAGTTATTTATGACCATCCACGTGCGGTAAATTATGACACGAACCTCTGGGAACCGGCGAAGGAGCAGTAAAAAATCGTAAATTATTTGTAACCATTGAGTGGAGATGATATGCATTGAAGCATTGGGGGCCAAGGATATGATTGGTGAGGAATTCTGAAGAAAACAAATTCACAGTAAATAAATCCATCTACTTATGCTAGAGGCAGCAAGCAGCTGGCTCAGTTCTCAAACGCTTTAATGGACATGCTGCTAGGCTAGCTAGGTTGGTGTGCGTCTACATTTTTATTAAGAACAATGGAGAAATTAATGGAGCTGGGTTTCTACCAAATATACAGGAGAACTGATCCGACACAGAAGAACAAGAAGGAGAAGAAGACTACCTAATCACATAGCTATAAGCGAAGAAACACCAAAATTTGGCTGCTTCGCTTTACTAATGTGATAGATATAAGTCTACAGAATCAATATAGCGAGTTGTAGGTGAAGCACGTGGCGAGGATGGAGGTTATGCAAATGACAAGGGAAGGTAGAAGAGTCACATTCAACAGCGTTTTCTGCCCCAAGTACCCCGCCATTGTGATTGTTACGTCTGCCACCACACGAGCTAAGGTACCTGCCTCCGTCGAGAGTAGTCCACCGTTGTATGTTCCCTGTGAGAGCCTCGATGACATGACTCGCGAGAGCAACGATAAGTTGACGCCTGGAAGTAGGTATGCAGTAAGTTACCAAGTAAGCTCAATTCATCATGACAGTACTGAATTCGCATTGCAAGGGAGTAGAATACTTTACCTTCTAGTACTTCGGCCGAGACAAACATAATGAGTCCTGAGCACACGTATTGTGGCACGGTGTATGGAACTAAGATGTGGAAGCTTAGGAGTATGCCTACACAGACCATGATTTCTGATGCTAGTAAGATTTGCCTGCCAATGAGATCAACGACGAAGAAATGGTAATCAGTATGATGATTTCGAGCTGCTACCAAGATAGAATTGAATCCCGGAAGACAGAAGAGATAATGGGCTTATACCTATCTTCAAACATGTTACTGATATAGCTTCCAACAATGATATTCACTGGAAGGACAGTGAGGCCTAAGCAGGCGAGAAATATTGCCACTGAGCTAGTAGACCAACCGAAGTAGTACGTTGTGACGACACTAGACTCTGATAATAAAATCTCCATGGCGTACTTGAGCATGAAATATATTAACAACTGAACCTGTTTTTGCAATTCAGGCAAGAGAGTTATCAAATGGTAAAAAATAAAGTTGTTAAAAAACACTTGTACGTTTCATAAAGTATAGAGATACATCTTCATCTTACCTTTACAGAAGGTGTCAATAGCCTATAAGCAGAGCGAAGTGAGTTAGCTGGTCCTCTGGATCCCTCAGATTCATCATCACTCCCACAATCTTCATCATCTTGATTGGCTTCTGTACTTGGTAGCAATGGCTGCTGAAGACCTTTCTCAAGAGCATCATTTCTCGTTGGTTCTGCTTTCAACACGAGACCAAAATTATTATCGAAGAGCGAGTATTCGGGTGATTGAGCAACTGAACTGTAAATCTCATGCAGAGTCTAAGGACCAGAGTATAAGCATAATGGGGATGTCTATCCCACTTATGAGTGACTTAAGCTGAAGCTAAACCAAATATGGGGCTATCTATACCAACTTATGAGTTACTTAAGCTGAAGCTAAACCAAATGGTTTGGCAGAATTTATGCCTGGTGTAGTAAAAGGCATAACTGTCATCATTTTCCTTTTGCATTTTCATTTAAAAATCCATCTGATATAACAATAGACTAGAATTTAAGAACTAGAATTAGTTGAAATTTAAATTAAAATGGAATATCTTATGACAAATAGACTCACTGTAAAAAGCAAGTTCAATTATCAAGTTATGGATATATAGAAAATCATATCATATAACTTATCCTTCCACAAAGTTTCTTTAAGCATGAAGTTCCTTCACACAAGCTTCTAGGTACCCCATGTTTAATTAATATTTTAGACTCACAATCTGAACTTACAGAGTTGTGTAACATTGGTTATAAGCTTTTTTATCTGTAAGAGATGCAGAAAACAAGTAGTGGCCTTCTACCAAGATAACAGACCCAAGCAATGGCAGGCAGTAGATTATTATTGATTGAGATGAAACAAACATGACATTATGTATGCAATACATGGAATGGGGAGAAGTTTACCATCACTGGTTTGTGGAGCTACATTGGTATCTTGTGTCGGGCGAAAAGGCTCTCTAAATGAGATGCACAGCCATATCATATAAAAGAACCAACCCACAGCCATAACCCAGCCTGGTAAAGTGTTCTGATTGAATGTGAACTTGTAAATTTTAAACTCCGTTTGAAGTAAGCCAGCAAGAGCCGGGCCACAGGCCATCCCGAGAGCACTTGCACTAACAAAACCTGCTGAAGCTTGCATACGTAGCTTAAGTGGCACACAATCACTGATATAACGCCGGTTCACAGCTCTAGCAGAACCCAACCTGCAGTACAAGGAGTAATTTACTGTAACATCAAAGCAATAATGAACCAGTTGGCGCGCTAACATCAGTCCACTAATGAGATTTAAGTGACTTCATAATATCATATTGCAGTTGCCAACCTTTTTGCTTCAGAGCCCTCTGAGCCATATTAACTTACTGATAGTTTAACAATTACAAAAATAAAATAAAAAAACAGTAGGAGAATAGACCTGATTTTTTTTTCTTGGTACACAATAAGCAGATATATATTCAGGAGTTGAATAATTACTTACCCACAGAAAAGCCGGCCTAACAGAAGTATTGTGATTGACTTGAAATCATAAGCCATTGCATACATGACATTTCCGATCAGAAGAGCGATGCTGCTGAACACAAGAGGCCTGAAGTATGATCTATTGGACCATGCACTGAAGTATACTGAAGAGAAGACTTGAGCAACAGCCATTGATCCAATCACAATACCACAAACTGTTGCCGGTGCACCAAGGCTCATGGAGTAGTCATCTGCTGTGGGTACTATAATATAGGTGTTTATCATATAAAGGAATGTGTTTGCCAGATTCAGGATAAGAGACATAAAATGGTATCTCTTATCATCAATGCTCTCCTCAATGGGAGTTGGAAGCTCCTCTTGCATAATAAGTGCATGTTGTGCCAAGAAGTTCAAGAAGTTGGTTGAGTGGCTTAACCGGTCAACTGCCGCTTTCATTGCATCAACAACAGAGTCCTGTTAAGAGATATGTTTACTATCAGTCTTTGGCCATGTGAGTGCTGTCACAACTTGATATCACAAACTCAAAACTTAAACAGAAAGGAGCAAACAATAACCTCAAGCGGAAGCACAGATTGATCATAAATGGATAAGAAACTTCCTTGATGCTCCTGAAGTTCATGAAGATTGCGGGATATGGCTCCAACAACTGCCCCAAGACCCTGCACTTCCAGTAATAAGTTAAACAAGACTTGGATGGGAAGGACAGTCCCACTTTGGGATCTGTAATCAATCTCTGGCAGAATCATATGATAATGCGTATGAGTGGCATTTTACCACATGCTTGAACACTTGCTGAAGCTGGGAATAAGGATGATTAGCTCGAGTCTTCACATAGTAATCGGTGAATCGATAACCGAAACGTTTATCAAACTTCTTCAGGATCTTACGCAGGCCCACAGCATTTATTTCAACAAAGAAAAGAAGCTTCAAAAGGTCCCTCCCGACATCCCTATAATTTTCCCGCAACTGGGATAGCTTCGCTATATCTGGCTCTTGTTGTAGAGCATCCTGATCTTCGTTAAGCTTGGCTATCCTTCCTGCAAGTAGCCCTTGTTGCTCCAACAGAAACAGGACTATCTTTTCAATCTGAAGTAATTGGTAGATCAGTGAATACGTAATCTAAATTTTCTAGAGATAGCCAATTACAAAAAGCATAATCAGACTCTCATGCATTAATAAGTACCTGACAATCAAGCATTCTCGAGAAGTCCTTGAGAACATGGCGCCGATCTAGTGTTCCAACTTCAATTTGGTGGCCATATTGTTTCACTCTCTTCTTCATCAATTTGTAGTTGATATAGTATCTGAACAGGAAAAAACAAATACCATAAGGAAACTGTAAAGACAAAGTAAAGGGCACTTCCTTGTGAATTTCAATGAGAAATAAATTGGAAACCTTACAAGTTCAATAAATAGATGACAAAAATTTTAAGGACATAACAGAATTATACCATCGCTCTTGCAAACTGTTTCCATAAAAGAGAGTGACTACAGATATCAAAGTCATCAAAAGAAAGAGATGACTCCTTCATTTTTTACACTAGAACGAGAAATTTCTGGTATATAATTTCTCGTTAAGTTCATTGCAACCAAACAAACTGCATTAATGTGACAGTATGTGACTGCAACGTACCCTTGCCATTCTTGAATTTGCCTCTCCTTTAGCTTTTTCCCAAAGGCAACCATCTTCTCCGACAAAAGAAAAGGCTACAAAGACCTGAGTAAGAGAAAGACAGCAATGATAACAGTGTTACAGCTTGCTTTGTAATAAGTAATAACAGAATGAAACTCTGTTCTTGTGAAACAGAGAACCAGATTGATAATCAGTGAAACATCTCCCTCAATCTTGTGGCACATCCGATTTTTGGCAAAATAACTTTACACACACAAACACTTCTAAGTTGTCCTCTGCTTTAAGATGCTTGATACAAATATGCAGCCTACTGTCCAAATTTGTTGCCTGATTTTAGTCGCAGCACATTCAGGCATACCAAAAGGAAGAAAATAGTTCCCATTATCAAGCTCATAGCTACAGTAGGGAAGAAATCAACAAGTAGAAAGAACAGCGTACGGCGTATCACACAATCAGAACTTGCACTATATTAAAACACCCATTAGATAAGACCAGAATCATGCCATAACCTGCTACCTACTGCAAACTAAGCTATTTCCATCAGCTCATGTTTATGCAGCCTATGAAATATAAATAATCTTATGAGAGAATTTAGTATACCACAAGTTCAAGTTCTAAACTTTAAGGTCAACAGAGAAAAGGGCAGTTGACCCAAACAAAGGACATAGAAAAAGATAGATATTCCACTGGAAGTAAAATCCAAGAAAGTAGCTAAAGTTTTGCTTTTTTTACACTACTCTTCACCTTCAAGGCGCCAACCTAAACATGTTTCAGGCTGCGTGGTTTGCCCGTTTAACCTCTATAACTATAAGACTCTCTCCCACAAACAGCCCCCTCAAGTTACTTTCAGGAATTACAGCTCAAATTTGACCCAACAGGTGGTCAGGGAGCAATCTCTGCCGTATGAACTAAGCTGAAAAAGATTGAAAACCTTAAGAGTAGGTTTGAATTGATTCACTTCTCAAATGAGAAATGATTGAGCTTCAAGTAATTTTAGATCAGATAAACAATATCTGAAGTCGAAATTCAGAGTATTGCAGAAGTCCTCAAGGAACTATAGAAGGAACGTCACTTCACACACTCAAATGCTCAATAACAGAGCAAGAGAGCTTTACATAAAGAATTCTGCCTTCTCCCAAATCACTTCACCCGTGTTTGGTCGCTGAGACAAAGTGAGTGGAGTGGAAAGTTCTATGGAGCTAAAGAGAGAGGGGGGCAACCAAATCGAAATCACCAGTTTGAGATGGGGAAAAAACGTTAAACCACACTTCCATTTGAGACAAAATTTCCTCAGCAACCAAACAGACGACGGAAAACGGCAAGCGTTAACAAGATTAAGCAACGAAAGGGAAGAAAATCCCTCTCCGACTGCGAACTACCTACGGGCGTAGCTCGCATTGGCATCGAACCGCCGAAAGGAACGCGTTCAAAACAGGGGAAAGCAGCAATCAACAGGCCAAGAAAATCCGATTGCGAGAGAGATAGAAAGTACGAACAATTCACGGTACCTCAAAACGTATTCGAGAGGCGAGGAGGAGCTCCTCGAGGAGAATTAGAGAATTGAAAAGGGAATTTGTCCCTTTTCCGGTGATTGTTTTGGTTGGCTCGCGATTGGTTTCCGAGAAAAAAGTGGATCTTGAATCTTGGGAGGACGAGAAGAAGGCAAAAGCTTTCCCCTCTCTGGAGATTCAGCAGAACAAGGTTGAAGGAAGAAGGAGAAGAGAGACAGAGATACGGGTCGGGTGTGTGTGGGTTTGTAGCTGCCTGCCTGCTGGCGGGCTAGTTCCGTTCCGTGAGAGTGATGGAGTAAGGCAGTGGAGGAGTTATTTATATTTACTTTATAATAATCCAATAATGATTGATAATTATGTCCACATAATTTACGTAGCTAGTATTTAATTGATTTTGGTATCTCGAATTAATAAGGGTTTTTTTTTTCATTGATTAATCTGAATTTAACAATTTCCACCTCCTTGCTGACAGTGACGCTCAGGTCTTCCGTCTTCCCTAATTAGAAATCAAAATTAGAGACAGGGACAGGGATAGGGACCTGCACCACGTAACTCGCAAGTCACAATTAACAACATCCGATAAGTGATCACCGGTAACATTACATAATATATCTAAATCCTATTCAGCAAAATTTTGTTGTATAGTAAGAATAAGAAAATTTGTATGTTTATCATCGAAATCAATAGGTAGTGAATGACAATTTTGATTGGATTCGTACGTTCTTTAATGAAGAGTAGGTTTTATTTTTATTAAATACCATCAAGAGTACATGACTCAAGTGCAATCAATATGAACCTATTACAACCACGATCTATAAAAGTTTAGGCCTATAAACTACCACACTCAAGGACAAACTATACATTCGTATATCGTATACTTATACCTTCTTCCTGTACATTAGATTTTTTAAGGGATGACAATTGGCCGGTTTAGAGGTGAATAGTTGAGCTCTATATATTCATTACATTCGTCAGTTAGTATCAAATGGATGACTTCAGTTGCAGTATATTACGACAGACGAGTAACCAGCAGATCTTCTTACTAAAGCATTCTCCATGAGCCGGCATTGGTTAGGTTTCTTTCACACAAATTGATGTTGCGTCAAGCACCATCACTTTGAGGGGGTATTGAATATATTGAAAGGTATATTATACATATAGTTACGTTATGTCAAGGGACCAAATTGTATATATGTTATATTGTGAGGACTGGACGATGATTAGATGCACACGCTTTGTGGTTAGGCCTTGTGCATGGCCGACAATATATCCCTTAATTAGAGTATATAGCAGGTGAATTGAATAAGACAAAACATCAAGTTAATTACCATGGAGTAAAGTTTTTCTGAGAGGCTGAACCACGTTAAATTTTGTGCTCTACTTTTGTTCAATGCGAGTTTGATTGTTTAATACTCTATTGCTCTAGTCTAATTAATTCTAGCTTTATCTATATTCATATCGAACTTGGCTACGGTATATTGGATTGTTGATACAATGATCCATACACCTTTTTTTTTACTCCTACTAAAAATGATTTTTTGTTGATCCAACGATCCGCGTCAAGAATCCAGAACCGCGCGTTAGGGGAACAGTTTGCTCCTCGAGTTGCGTGAACCACGCCCTTGAGATGAGATTTTGGTGAGGGTGAAATTACTAAACCGCCCCTAGAGGGTGCAGTCTGAGTGCTATAAAACCCCCTACCCCCTCTCCATTTATTCACACCACAACCCATTCTTCTGTCTCTCTAAAATTATCTCTCTATCCATCCCCCTCCCTCAAAAAGCTTAGGAAATAGTGTCTGTTGGTTGCGGCAAAGTCCAATCTGCCATAAAAAAACATTTCTTTGGTTTTTCTTTCAAAACCCGTCGAATCTCTGTCTGACTTTCGCAAAAAAATGGATGAGTGGTTCCAAGTAAAGGGATTTTATTATGATGAATTTCAAGCGATACGTACTCATTTTACCAATTTTTTGTTGTTGTTATAACCTTTTTAATTCATCTATGTACTAACCTTGTTGTTATTCTCTCGTAGGTTGAGGATGACGTAGATATATACAACCAACAATATTATGTTGATCAAGGACCTAGTGATCCAACCGTGTCGTACGACCAACCCAACCATCGTTCAAGGGATGTTTGGAACGATCACGAGGTACATACAATTCTTCATCATTTGTCATTCACTCATTCTTTTATTTTGCTAACGTACTTAGTGGAATATAAAATAAATTTGATCATTTTTAATCGTATTGGTTGAATGATTGTTTTCAATAATTTAATTGAATACATAACGCCACTTACTTAGACTCTTTATAAAGAGATGCATGCCTAAGGAAATGAGATTTTAAGCGATTATCAGATCCTTCCATTCCCTAGGAAAATTGAGTTTTAAGCGATCCTTGGATCCCCTTTTTCTGTCAAAAAGGTTGCATTTCTAAGAAGATGTATACCTCTTCTAAGAGTCTAACGAGTATTGTATTGTATTCGATTAAATTATTTAAAACAACCAATACGATTTACAAAATAATATCATGGATTTATGTGTATATGTACAAAATTAATTTTATTAATTTAAAATATTTGAATATGTATCTGTTTAATTATTATTCATTTAAATTGTTATTTATTTTAATTAATTGATTATGTTTGTTTTATGAAATTATGTATATATCTTGGAAACAACCTTGAATTATTTTAAATTGTTTGTTATAATAGATTCATAATAAAAATATGGTGAAATTTAAATAATTTATTTTTATTTATTTATTTATAAAAAACATTGATACTAGTATATCATAAACTTATGGTAACGTTAAAATTTTCGCTAGGAGGCACACCAAATAATTCGCTACAGGGGTTCGACCAATGTGCTCCCATGGAATGACACTATCTTGCCCTTTCTCAAAAAGGCACGGTTGGAGTCGATTAGGCATTTTTCAGGTATAAAAATCTACCGTCGACTCATCACCGCATTGGTGGAGAGATGGCGAAAAGAAACACATTGCGTCAACTTTCGCGAAGGAGAGTGCACCGTCACACTAAAGGACATCACCATCCTAACCCATCTGCCCATCGACAGTAATGCGCTGTGTGTGAACACATCTGTCTCAAGCTGCGATTTTTTAAAAATGGTGCTATTTTTGGAATTTGTGTGAGCTGGGTGCTATTTTTGTAATTATTTTTTTAATGGTGCTATTTCTGGAAAAAAAATCCGACATAGAGACTCAATCTTGGATTTTTTACACCAATGTCCACCTCGGTAGATTTCCCCCTTTCCAAACACCCAATAAAAGCAAGTCGTTTGGATGAGAAATTCTAATTGATCAATTTAACTCAATTGTTTCATTTTGAAATCATTTGGCCAAATTGATCCATTTTGCAGCACACATTTTAGATACAACAATTATATTAGGAGATTTCAATTGACTCGTTTTGATACAATTACAATTATTTGGAGTGAGGCAGACAATTGTATTTTTTAATTGATGCATCTAATCCAACCCTTATCTCTAGGGCTGGCTATTTGGACCGGGACCGGATAAAAAACCGGAAACCGGACCGTATAACCCGGACCGAGACTGGACCAGGATCGGATAGTAAACAATCCAATCCAATCTTTGGGCTTAGATTTGAGGTAAAAAACCGGATAAAAATCGGATAAGAGAGCTCAACACCCAAAACTTAAGTGTAATTTGCATAAACGGTCACAAACCTTTGCACTTAGTACAAAACTTAACCAACTCCTCACCCTTTTAGGCCTTAGGCCACTCAAATTCCCACAATGTCAATATAAAATCAAGATCGAATTGGGACCGGACCGGGTCAAGATCGGACCGGATCAAGACCGGACTGTATCCAATCCAATCTTCGGTCCTTATATTTTCAAAAAAATCGGACTGGAACGGATCAATTTGGGCCAATTTAACCAGACCGGACCGTATAGCCACCCCTACTTATCTCAATAGTAATATAGCCTTCTTAATAAGTGGCCGTTGGTGCCTTGATGGGCCGTCACTACTCAGGGGACAAGAAATGTTGAAAGGTTTTCAACTTTTCACCCAAAAAAACAATTGCTGCAAAAATTTCCTAGAAATTGTCAACAGAACTAATCATGCACGTGCTTAATAACACCATTAGCAAATTTCGATGATTTAGCCTTTTCATCTTCTAATCCTCACATTAGTGTCATCAAGACATTAACGCACTTCCAAAGATGACGTGACTGTACTTATTGTAATTGATAGTCTTGGTATATATATCCTTCCTTACTTAATATTATAGGAATTCAAAACTAAATCTTTGCCACATAAGCACATGGATGACTCTCATTCATCCATGGTGGACAAGTTCTAATTATAATTTTTTTTTCTTTACACTTAAAATCATCATTATTATCATTAAAATGTGCATTAAGTTAATAACAATGAATGCAATCTTTTGGTTTGTTTCTATTGGTTTTCCAAGTATAGATGATCTCTCTAAAATTAAAATTGGAAATTGGAAAAAATAAAAGATAAAAATTGGGTCAAGCCCTATAAAACAAACAAAACTCTCTTCTTATACACTCAAAATTTTGAGATTTCTAGCATGTCTATTTTCTTCTCTGCTATTTTATGCATAGATACATCATACATGTAAGGAAAATGGTAAGACATATAGAGTTTTTTCATTGCGTCAGTTACAAGAGGCAGCAATTAGATGAGAAACAATTGAGTAGTTGTAACATATTTTTCCTATTGGCAAAAAAAGTTCTTATCATTGAGAATACGAAGTAAAACAAGCCAAGTAGTGACGACAACTCCCTATTCTCCCGTGATCCGCAGCTGATGACTGACCTCTCTTCTCCAACGGTATTTGGCTGCTTGTGATTAACCGGTCGGGTTCTACTCTTCTTTCCATTTTTAAGTACTTTCATATTATGGTGGCAGGGTTTTAAATTGCCCTTCTTGATCTACCATTGTCTTTCATCTTCACTTTAGGTATTATTCAAAACTAAATTACTGTCACATCAGCACATGGATAGCTCTCATCCTTTCATGGTGGGCAAGTTCTAATTATAAATGACGTACCTTATGTTAACACTTTCAATCGTCATTATCATTAATAACACATAAATCTAAGTTAATAATAATGAATGCAACCTTTTAGTTTGTTTCTATACATTTTTTTTTTTCGTTTAGATTAGCTCTCTAAAAATAAAACCTATCATTAAAAAGAATAAAATTAATTGATTGGGTCAAGCCCTATAAAAACAAACAAAACTCTTTTCTTATTTGCTA